ACAAACAAGCGGTTACTTTACGTTAAATTGAGAGGCGTTTCAGTCCAAGGTTTGCAGCTAACATTTGTCATGTGCATCTAATAGTCTCTTCTATTACGACGCTGCAGTGAGGCTTTTTTTATATTGAGTTTTGCGTTTCCAAGTCGGTTAAACAAGCAACTTTTTGTGAGTGCTTCTCTTTGCAGCTATAATGATTAGTTTACTTCACTCAAAATTTACGGTTTGATAATTTGCTGTGCGTTTTGGCAAAGATCTTGAGAGAGAAATAACATATTTGCAGTGAGTACAGAAAGGAAACTAAAACAGGTTAAATTTTGGCCAAGCTTTTTAAACCGTAGTGTTGTCCTTATGTAACACTGAAAATTCATTCATATTCTTGCTAATTTAGGACCACTTTTATTTCTTCTTTTTTCTTATTAGTTTTACTTTCCTAACGAGGTTATCTGGACCTGGACCATTTAGCACTTTGATTCACGCAATTGCAATTTATGATTTTTTAATTTGAACTTCGATGTGTTGGGGAAATTTGTGAAGTTTTATAAAGAAAGTAGCTTTTTGAGCTTCTTGAAATCAATACATTTAAGGATAGTTTTTGAACATTTTGAAACAAGTTTTTTTGACGGAAAAAAAATTAAAATGCTGAAAACTTTGAGCGAAGCTTTGAGTCTGTAACATATTGGTTGGAAGCTTACTTTGAAAAACTTTAGGTGTATACTGCGTTGAAAACACCTTTAACACCTGAAGTTGGCTTTTGATTCTTAAGTGACGTTGTGAGTGCTTTGTCTACCTTCACAGCAATTAGTTTCAGTTAGAGAGTGTATCAGTTAAATCAATTTTCTACTTTCTCTTGTCTTTTTTAAATTCATACGTTTAAGGAGTCACAGCATTTTTAGGAGTCATAAACTGCCAAAAGTGTCACCGACACGAATATTAATTCTCTTTGATCAATGAATTTCTGCTGATTTTTGCTGCCTGGCACATTGTAAACTTAGTGTGGAAGGAACAGTTTTATAAATACTTCGAGCGTGTAAATAAAATATTTAGGATTTGTTCAGCTTACTGAGTATAACTTTATTTACCTTTTGAAAAACACGTTGTTGCAAGATTCCTTTATACGTTTTGCAGTATCTGATTCAGAACAAGATGTTGACTGTATAAATAGAGCATTTTGACTGTGAAGAATTAACGACACATATCTGTTCACCAGCATTTTTTTAAATGTTGAAATTTCCTGCAAGGATTGGCTATAAATAGATGGATCTTACAGAATTGTAATGTAAACTGTATTACCTTTAGGATTCACAACTTTGTCCAAAGTCCAACTGAACATTCAAAACTTTCTGTGGTCATTGCTGTGAGTATGCAGAAATGAAAATAAAAGTGAATAGAACAAGGAAAACTATGGTTTAAAGTAGAAAACCGTTGGTGCATTAGATGATGGGTCTAGTTAAAAACAGGTTTTTTGAGTACTCTCTTGCTTGCTGTTTTTAAGTTCGCAACAGATCAAACTCTTTTGCAAAGTTCAGTTTTTTCTACATATATTTTTTTAATTTTTTATTTGCCTTCCTTCTGTTGTCGCTGCTGGTTTCATTAAATAACCAATACGTTATAATTTCACGCATTCGTTTCATGAGAATGGGATGTGTGGAAAATAAAGAGAAAGCAGGAGGCAAGAAAGAAAATAAAAGAGAGGAAACGATGCCTCCAATTC